CTCCTCTCTCTGTGTCTCTCTCTCCTCTGTTTCTCTGTTTCTCTCTCTTCTCTGTGTGTGTGTCTCTCTCTCTCTTCTCTCTGTGTGTGTCTTCCTCTCTCTCTTGCTGTCTCTCTGTCTCTCACTTCTCTCTCTTCACTCATCCTCCCTCTTTCTGTGTCTGTCTCTTCCTCTCTCTGTGTCTCTCGCTTCTTTCTCTCTGTCACTCTCTCTGTCTGATAAGCTAGTTGCATGTAGGGCTGAGAAAACATTCCGTCTTAAATATTTAGCTTATCAGCCTCTCTCTCTGTGGTAGGTACAGCCAAAGGCCTTGACCAGCAGTATGGGAAAAATTTGAAGCCGTAAAAGAATGAGGAATTTGCTTTCGGTTCTGAACCCACAATTTCCTGACAAATAGAACAATAAATCAGTGGAACAATTTGCCTCCAGAAGTTGTGGGAGCTCCCTCCCTGGAGGCTTTTAAGAAGAGATTGGACAATGATGTGTATGAAATGGTATAAGGTTTCCAGCCTGAACGGAGGGTTGGACTAGAAGACCTCCAAGGTCTCTTCCAACCCTGTCATTCTGCATTTTGTAAAAAAAAAGGATTAGGGAAGAAATGATAGTTTCCCAGTATTTGAGGGGCTGAGTCCCTTTGAGTCCAAGTATTCTCCAAAAGCCCCTGAAGGCAGGACAAGAAGCAATGGGTGGAAACTAATCCAGGAGAGAAGCAACCTGGAATTAAGGAGGAATTTCCCGACAGTGAGAACAATTAACAAGTGGGACAACTTGCCACCAGAAGTTGTGGGTCCGCCATCATTGGAGGTTCTCAAGAAGAGACTGGACAGCCGTTTGTCTGAAATGGTAGAGCATCTCCTGCCACGTAGGGTTATTACAACGCTCATCTGGATGGTTTTTGTAACTGCGGTTACAAGTAATTGCAAACTCCAGCAATTCTCTGCTTGCAAGGACACGGGATGAAACAATGTGTAACCTGTAACATTTGCTGCTTTGAATGCACGACATTTGATTCTTCCATTGTGTGTGAAAACACGCATATTCCCANGAGAGAAGAGAAAATGGAATGAAAGAGAAGTGAGGAGAAAATGGAATGGAATGAAATAGAAGAGAAGAAAAGAAAAGAGAAAATGGAATGGAATGGAAGAGAATAGAATAGAATATGGAATGGGATGAATTAAAATAGAAGGGGAGAGGAGAGGAGAGAAAAGAAAATGGAATAGATTAGATTAGAATAGAATAGAATAGAATAGAATAGAAAATGGAATGGAATGAATTAAAATAGAAGGGGAGAGGAGAGAAGAGAAAAGAAAATGGATTAGATTAGAATAGAATAAAATAGAAGAGAAGAGAATTCATTTTATTGGCCAAGAGTGATTGGACACACAAGGAATTTATATTTGGTGCATAAGCTCTCAGTGTGCATAAAAAGACAAGATACATTTGTCAAGAATCATAAGGCACGACATTTAATGCCATCTATTAAACATTTTATAGAGGTTTTCTCTGTAGGCTACTGACGTCGTAATTTTTTAACTCCTTTCCCATAGTATGTCCCATTTTTCTCACTCTTGTGTTATGACCAAAGTTTCCGGTCCAGCTAATCATTGTCTCCTTTACCGTCTCATCTTCCATTTTTATACCTTAAAAGAACCTTTCATCCAATTCTCATTGTTTCTGACGTATACCATATTGTTCCCGGTCTTTTTTTTTTAATCTTAAATTTTGATTTGTAAAGACGGCCACCGTTCCATGTCTATTCCTGGTGTTTCCTGATTTTACTTCTCCTTTTTCATCTAAGAGTTCTGCATTTTACTGAGATCTGGGGTATTTGGATATGTTATGGACTCAATGGTTGGTAACCCGATTGGGATTTTCATATAATGGTTCTTTTTTATCCCCCCCCCCCTTCAGATCTTGTATCCCTTATTCTGTGTCTCTGGAAGTAGGAATGAGATTGAATCCTTCCCTCCCAGAAGAAGCCATGGAGATCCTGACCTTCTAGCATGAGAATCCTTTTATTTTTTAGTTGGATCCAGTCCTTGGGCCTTCTCAACGCGCCTGATAATTAAACTAGCCTGATCTGCCAGCCAGCCAGCCGGTCAAGGCCAGGCCAAGCCATCTGCTGACCACAGCAGGGCTGTGTGGTCCCGGTACCAGGTGGTGATAAAAACTGGTTTCGGTTTTGTGTTGTTGTGGTTGTGACTTGGGAGCTACAGGTAGTTCTCGACTTAGGACTGCAATCGAGCTCAACATTTCCGTTGTTAAGTGAGATATTTGTTTAGAATAGAATGGAATAGAATTCAGAATAGATAAGAATAGAATAGAATGGAGAATAAAATAGAATGCAGAATAGAATAGAGAATAGAAGAGAATTCAGAATAGAATAGAATAGAATAGAATAG